GAGGGGGGGCAAAGCCGGGCCTGGCTGCTGAGGGGGATCCGATCGGAGGAGCTGGCGGCGGGTGACTCGGGCTAACCAGGCTGGATCGTTTGGTCCCTCCAGAACCAGAACCTCTTTGGTTGTCTACAGGATAGCTGTTGCCACAGAGAGAGAAATAAGGCTATTAGCTGTGAGGCCAGATTAGACTGTGCAACCTCAATGTTAACGCAAACCGTGTGTGCTTGTTGCAGTCCAGACAAAAATCTAAATTCCAGCTTTAACTGGTGTTTCCATGAGACCTCACTCCTTGGTTTCAGTTCCCTCGCAGTGTTTCTTTTGGCCTACACCACCAGAACAAAGGAAAGCTTCTGGGGCCTGGCAGAAATGCTATCATCCAGCCCATCTCCCGGGCTGACAAGAACATGAGCCATCTCACCTCTCCACCAGAGGCCAGGCGTCACGTCTGAGCTCCGAGCAGCCTCCTGGCTCGAGAGCTCCTGCAGCAATGCGAGCCACTGCCCCTCCACGCTGAGGTCAGACTTACGACACGCCAAGCAGGGATGTCTACCGTGATAAATCGCACAAGGACTGGTGGGTGTGCCAGGAAAGCATATGCTCTGAACACCTGCTAAGAACAGATCTCTTCACCGGATTCCACGGCTCAGAGCCGGAGTGCAGCAGCCATGTCTCATCGCTCGCCGTGGGGAGTGAAGAAGACGAAATGGAAACCCAACGTGCTCTTAAGGAGAACACCGATTCACGAGTGACCGAATCTCCCATTTATGGAAGCTATGTTTATATCAGAGAACACTACTGCCCGTAAGATACGGTAATATCATACATACGTGCAAAGGAAGCCCTAAACCGACATCTCCTTCCATGGTAAAACACAAAAATCAGGTCACAGCTTTTAACAGTGCACAGTGCTGATCCAAGACAGACTACTGGAGATCAAACCTAGCTCCCAGGATTCTTTAAAAACAACCACCAAAACAAAACCAGAGAGGGGAGATCTCTGGCTAGGCAGAGATCTAAGCAACTGCATAAGGCAGCGTAAGCTTCATCTGAGAGCTCGTTTCTGCTCTGCCCTAGAGGAACATGCTGCAGAGCGGAGTGCTTGGTCTCTTTGACACATCAGAAGAGCCTTTTCTGCAGCATTGCTGCCTTTGGATAAGATGGAGACAAGCTAACGCAGTCCTGTCTATCAGACATACTTCCTCCTATTACTCCTGACTCTGTTTTACTGCCTTTAAAAAAAAGCTGCTCTCTTGTTTCACCCTTTCTGTCTTGAGCCACTGCTGGACCGTAATTCTCAGCTCTAGAGGTGACTGGAAGGCACCATTTCATCCGATACAAAGCAGCTGCCTGAGCTTGCACTGAAGTCACTGGGAAGGAGTCAACTGGTGTGCTTAAGTCCTTTCAATTTAACTACATCAACATCTTCAGCACCCACGTCATGCATTTGTCAAAGATCATAGGACAAATGGTAATAAAAAAAGAGGCAAAAAGTCATTCTTTGCAAAGCTCTCTAACAGGAACGTAAGTCTACACGCTCTGGAACAACTGCATTGGAAAATCCGTGCAACGAAGCCAGACCATTCACTCTTTCAGAAAAAGAAATACGCCTGCTCTAGCTCTCGCCCAAGCCCATCGTCCCCTTCCATATGGGAACGATGACAGCGGCTGGGATTGACGGAGAGCTGTGCTGCCTGGGCCTCTGTCCCTGCCTGCAGTTGCGCTTCCCCTCCAGACAGGAGCATTCTGGTTCCCCTACAACAACCGTTAGGAAGTTATGCTGAACTATCTCAGCCTGTCTCATGTCATCCTTTTACACCACCTACTACTCCTTGGTGACAGAAGGGATCCCGTAGGCTTACCTAAATTCCACCGGGGGTGGAGGCAGGCTGTCATCTGGGAATGAAGGAGGTGGTGGCACAATAGAGTCAGTCTGCGGCGGCGGCGGGTAGCAGTTCATGTACATGCTTTCATTTGAACCGATGCTGCCGTTCTGATACACCATGTTGGAGGGGTACCTGAGCGAAAGCGAGACAAGCAATCTGTTTAAACAGTTCAAGGCAATGTCTAAAGCTCATTTTTTCCCCTCGCTCATAAGAGCTTTGCCTCCTGGAAGGGTTACAACAAACAACTGCGCAGCAGCTCAACCACCGAACGGCAGTCGTATCAACCAAGTGGATGGATCAACCTGCAAGGTTTAGAAACGAGGTTTTCTAGCCGGAATGGCTTTTCCCAGCACAGTGGGACCTGCCTTTAGGTTGGACCTTATCAACCACCACAACAGGACACAGAAAACAAAACCTTAAAGCAATATTTAAAAATAAAAGTCTCTATTTCTCAAAGGATCCTATATGAACAACCACGTACAGCTGTATTCGTTTGCTCTGCATAATTCTTTGGCTAGAATCCGCCCAGATGCGTCCGTGTTTGTTTATTGCTACCACATATCAGAACAGCATGCGTATGTATTTTAGTGAGCAAAAAAACACCACAATAAAAAATATGTTTCTTAACATCTGATTAAAGAAAAAACATTCTTAAGAAGGTACTTTGACTGGTTTGGACTTGCAGGACTCCCTGTTATGCCAGGTGTCATCAGTGGCAAAAAAAGAAGAGGTACTCAAAGATGATAAAAAATAAGCTTGAGAATAGAATGTCAAAAAGAACCCACGAAACAGCAATGCCATCAAAAGCAAGTATCCAGAGCTGCAACAGCACTGCAGGAAGAGATCCCTCTCACCCCCAACTTTCAATGAGCTCATTTCACTGGGGGGTGGTAGAACCTCCCTGTTCTCGGGGGCTCTGGACATCAAATGAATGCAAATGCATGAACACGCTCAGCCGAGAAAACAGAGGAGCAAGGAAATGGTGCTGTTGTGCTGCTCGATTCCTCTGCTAGAAACGAAACCTGTTCTCCTATTAAACTAAAAGCAAGTTTTATTTTTAGCTGGAGAGTGTGATTTAAAGAGAGATTTTTCTTATATGAAAGGAAGCTGCAAGGAGCGAGCAAGTGAGAAGTGCATTGTGGGGAATTCGGTCTGCTTCCAGCCTCGCTGGTGTCAAAAGTTAAATGAATTCCCAAGCCAGAAGTGCTAAAGAGAGATCTGTAGCTTGAAATACTCGGATGGGGACAGCCCCCGCTTCAACTTTCGGGTGTGAAGAGCCGTTTGTGAAGTGTAACAAAGCAATCGCACAATACCAGCAAATGCCACCCCACTCCTCAGCGTAAGGCCCAGAGGCTCGGCGTGACGGGAAGGGCATCGCGACGGCGTCGGGAGCCAAAGCTCTCAACGCTTCTGTGCCCACAAGACACGCAGCCGAGAGCAGACTTGCTGCCGAAGCTGTTCCTGCCACCTTGTTCAAACCGTGTAGCTCCCTGATTTATTTAGCAAATTTGAAATCAGCAGACGGATTTACTTTGGAGAATCTGATTAGTGGCAGTATCGATCCGCGCTGTGCAGCAGATCTGGAGAAGCTGCAGAGCAGGGTGAACTGCATTACAATCAACAACGCCCGCCCGCTCCCCCTCGCTGGGGAGCTGAGCACAGAGCCCCAGACTTGCTTACCCGGCAGGACCGTGTTTGTCCTTCAACTCCACAAATTCTTGTCCCATTTTCAGCTTCTCCCACTCTTCTTTCCGGGTTTTGATTTTCCGCGGATTCACATTTCCTCGGTTCGGGTTCTCCTTTTTCTCTTTCTAAGGGAGGAAGAATCAAACAGAAGCCTTATTTTGCTTTAAACTGACTGGGAATGGGGAGGGATAGGGCAGACCTGCAGCAGCTTCCAGAAGATACATTCTCACAGAGGGCCAGGATTTTTAATTTACTTTCCTGATCGCTGCAAGCTCCAAAGATCTCCCATACAAAGAAGCTGGAGCACAGATAGCATAAATAAAAGAGGAAGACAGCATCAAATTTCCCCAGCGCAGCCCAGACATGATGCCATCATCACTCCCTGGCGTGACCACCTTGAGGGCAGAGTGAAAGCTCAGCTTCCCACATCAATTCAGTTTCTGGCCTCTGTGTCAAGACTGCCAAATCTCACCACCGTCACCTTGCTGGTGTTAAGTGCTTTGGGTGTGCAGTATGGACACTCACCCACAACGAACTGGGCTTTAGCTAGCCTCGCTCTGTATTCTAACACACCCCAAATCTCTCCTTTGTTATTGTAATTGAAAAATCATGATCTGTTTTGATATTTAATACTCCAATTGCTCAAATGCTAAATAAAGTATGCTCAAACTCCACCTTTTACGGCGTGAGTTTCAGTGTTGGTAAACATGGTTCCAAATCCCCAGGCAACCAAACCAGGAACTCTACCTGGCATTTTCAGCTTAAACGGTTTCATTGAGCCTCCCGCTTGCCCCTGATTTAACATTAGGGCCTGGTTTTGCACTCCTGAAGGGACATTTTCTCCTTCCTTTATTTTTCCACAGCAGAATTTATTACACCACTCAACACTGCAGTGCTGGGGCAGTGGGACTTGCACTGCCTCGACAGTGAACAGACCCCTCTGCAACACCAGAAGTGCAGAAAAGACTCTGACACAACTTTCTCCCCTGTTGACTGCACCAGCGCTGTGTTTGAGGACTACCACTTAAGCCATTATAACCATACAGAGACAGTGGCATTTGGAAAACAGATTAAGGGTATCTTTGTTTTCTTTGTTTTTTTTAATTAACAAGGATGAGAGTAAACCAGATAAAAACCTCACTGAATTGATCGCTAAAGAATTTAAGAGAGCAAACCTGAATTTTGGGTAGCAACTTTGGAGTCCAAGATTTATTAACACTTCCCACCTCCTATTCTTCCCTGCCACGCCTCTGTTGGCAGAGATCTCCCATTTCCTCACCCTGTGTTTCCGCTTCTCTTTCATAATATCCTTGGTGTCCTGAAGCATTTTCTCTTTCCAAAGGTCAAAGAAATATGAAGGATCAGTGTAGAATTTAAGTGCCTCTTTGCCATCATCCCTAGAACAGTGAGGGGAGGGGGGGAAACAGGGACTAAGTCACACATTTGTTTGAAGCCCAAAGAAAACACAAGGCACAACCCCAGAGGACAGTTTAAATGTCTGCAGTGACAAGATCAAGCACGCTGCTATCGCCCCTGCCCCCCATTTCAGAGCAGGCAGCGGACCCACCGCCTCACTTGTCCTGGCTCTCCCACTTGCCATCGCTTCCGCCCTCACACAAACTCTCCGCTACTCAGCACCCGAAGAGCTCAACTGCTCTGAACAATCACCAAGAGAGCAGCAGGTCTCTCACTTCAACTCCCACTTGTTTGTGTTGTTTTTTTGGTGTGAAAAAAAACCCCAAACATCTCCAGCTCAGGAACCCTAAATCAGACCAGCAGTGTCCTTGAAACTCATGAGTGAGCGGGCACACACGCACACTCTCCTCCTACTTTGCAGTGCAGCCGCGTCTGGCAGAAGACAGCTGCCTCCAGCTATCTGTAATTACTTTTTACCTGTTCAAAAGATATTTATGGATGTGGGCTAAGTCTCTGTATTCTGAACCCCTTTACTTCTACAACCTACAATATGAAATCAGAGTGGGACTGCTCACACAGCCAGTGTAGGTCACTTCAGATGTCTTGGACCAGGCACATGAGGCCGCAGAAAGCATCTCCAGATCTACAGGAGCCTGCTGCACCCACCTGGGTGAGAGCCATTTACAGATGTATGCTCTGCAGTTTGCACTGCGGCTTTCTGGAAAGGAGCCACGGGGCTACAGAGAAGCACAAGAAAAATGCATCATCTGCACAACACCTAGCATGTTTATGCAGTGCCAGCCAAGCCTTGCCCCAAGGCAGTCACAAAAGTGACAGCAGGCAACCATATATATAATTATCTAGCTACGCTCATTTCTACAGCCCCAAAAGCAAAGGTTCACGTAATCCAGAGGACGGAGATTTCCTGGTGGATCTCAGTTTAGCAATTCAATTTCCCATTGGAAAGGGCTACTTCAGTACAGCACAGGATGGGCAATGACCTCCTTGGCACTTTGGGAGGAACTCCTCTGCAAGGGAACAAGGGGCCAAGGCAGCATCACAGCCATACCTGTAGGGTGACAGAATGTTGAGAGGTGGAGGGGTATTGCAGGTCTTATAGGTTTCAAGGACAGGCACTGGGAGCGAATCTCTGTCGAAGAGCTTCTGGTCCTGAGTAGTGGAGCTTTTGAAGGCCTTCCTGGTGTTAATGCCTTGCAGGGAGACTGTAAGAAAGAAGAGAGAGCAAGTGAAGAACAGCTTGACCCAGGCCAATGACACTGAAGATCAAGTAGCAAACATCTGATTTCAGTTGGAGTTCTTGGCATGCTTAGCACTTCTTAAGGTCAGGTTCCTTTTCCCACAGATCTCTTGGGAAACCCAGCAGATCTCAGACCGTGCCGTGCCAAGCTCTGTTGCTGTGTAGACACGGCTCTCTTGAGAGCTGTTGATGTGGTTTTGAACCCCTGCGACCAAGACTCAAGAAGTGCACCGCCATCAAACCGCTGGAAAGTGAGATTCCACATGGAGACTTGCTAACGAGCACATCTAGACTCTGCCAGAAAGCCTATGCCCATGAGCAGCATGGTGCTTTTTCAGGAGGGGAGGAAATGGTCCCTCTTAGTCCAAGAGAAGACGTTCCAACACCCATCACAGCATCATGCTCATTTTATGGCCGCGAACCAACGACGCTGACTCAACGAGAATCTTTACCACGCTCAGCCTGCAAGGACTGCGCTCCACTCCATTACCTTCTTCCTCTTTGGGATCCAGCTGAGTGACTTTGACTTGCAAGCGGTCAACTCTCTCGACTAGAACGCTCACCCGAGAGGCAAAGGTGTTGGCTTGAGTAAACAACTCTCCAAATATGTCTTCTGCAAATTTACCTGGAATATTAAAGCGTTCGCATTACCCTTGTGCGCCACAGCAGACCATAGTCAGTCTCCCAGCTTGTTTTCTTGAAGAAAGAATGAACAAACCATGCTTCTTTTCAAGTTCGCAGGGCTGAGTTTAACATCCAGGAAGAAAATGCCCTGTTCCACCAAAACCTGACATTTCCAAGGGATCTTCAAGCAATAAAGAAACAATTGAGACATACTTTCAAGTCGTTATTAAAGTAACGAAACAAAGAGGGCTGACAACACTATACTGGTCCGAATCTGGATGGTTTTGTAGGTCCTTTAAGAATCTCTGCTGTTCTGTTTATTAGACAAGCAAATACAGTTAGGGTTTTTATTGCTCTGGAGAATCTCAAAGGCTCCCAAGTCTCCAGCAGGCCTGCCTCCAGGGTAACTGGCACATATTTACAAGCTCAAAGTACTCTGGAACTAGAGAGCAGACCCAGTCCTTGATCCCAAAGCCTGAGCTGTAACCACAGACGCAAGCACTGACCCTTTTGTTCCTTCAGGTGGCAGTGTCTGAAAAATTGATGCATCCACGTTTATTCTAAATCAAAACCAAGGGGGAACTTCTCAAACGGGGATGTTCGCTCCGTAACAGCTTGGACTGCCCAGCGGGCTGCTATGACAAACATCATCCATCGTTTGGACGGCGAGAGCGCCTAGGGGCTTGGATCAGGAGCTCGCCGCACCATTTACAAGCATAACAAAAAGATGTCCACTGTCCTTAAGAGTTTAAAATCTACGCATGCAACAAGAGATGACCACAGGTAGACAGAGATGGGAGGACTGGAAGAAAACCAAGAACTTGCAGCGAGTACTGTCTTTTTGTTCTGCTCTCAAGCACAACCCCACACAGGGAGCCCTAACCATGCCGAGGACAACACTGATGGGAACAGACTTGGCACTGACAGCAGACACAGGCCCATGGAGTTCCCACTGATGGGAAACATTTCCAGCCACGGCTGTTGAGTACAAGGCTGCTCCCAATAAGCAGTCTGGTTTTGAAATGCATCATCATATGGTCAACAGTTTGTTCTGGAATCTGTTACTCCTAAAGATCCTCTCCGACATTCAGGAAAGGATAACCAGCTGGAAGCCTAACTTTAACAGCGATTTTGGAAAATCTGGTTGTCTGCAACGAGTCACATCAGAAAGACAAGGGCCCCTTGCAACAACGCAATGTGAGGGCATCCCCCAAAGCCCAGCTGCACAAATACTTGCAGCTATCTAAACTGACATATCAGCTGCTTGTTCATACTTCCATGCGGCTCTCCTCACGCTGCCAAGCACGGGGATCAGCCAGGTTAAAAATCAACCTTCTCCACCCCTTTTGGTGGCAACGGCAGCTTGAAGTGCTCGTAGAAAGCAAATGCTGGAAGTTAACTTCAATAAACCTCCTCGATAACACAGACTCCACAAATGTCCATTAACAAGCCCAACCAGTTTTCCTCACGAGACGGATTTTATTTCTGGAGACCTAAGGGCCAGGCAGCGGTTGCTACAGCCAGGTTTCATGAAGCACTCTCCATGTTCAACATCAGCACAAGACCAGCACCCCTAATTTGACCAAAGAGAGTGAACTGTTTATCTGTGGGATAATTTGACACCTCCCAGCAACTGCTCCAAAAAGAGAAGTTGTAATTTGGTTTCCACTTTAACGAGAACTGAACATCAGTGCTGAATTTCACGAGGAACTGCAAGAAGCACCAGGGAAAAAGAATAAAGTTTATGGTTTGCAGTGCTTAGTGGTATGTTTCAAGCATAAAATAATCTATAAACAGCATTGTATATATTGGTCTTGACCCCGGAGGGAGGAGGAGGGATGGGCCGTATTCCCTTGCCTGTGGACGTGGACCGGTACAGAGTTATCCTCCAGCATCTCACATACCGTTCCGTGTTTCAGGTATACTTTCAGATGGGGCAAGGCAGAGATTAATTTTTTGGTTTAGTTACTTTGCCTGCAAAAGTGCAGCTTACAATCAGAATTATCTTTGCCATGCACTGGCAGGAAGACAGACGGCATGATTTAATAGGTCTTTCCATCTTTAGCTTGTGGATTCTATAAAATCACACAGAAACGCACAGTCGACTTACACAAAGTGCTACCAGCTGTGATAGTAACGAAGGGTAAACTCACTGGAATACAAAAGTTTGACAAGATTTATGTTTGCATCTTTGTAAAGAGACTGCGGTGCACTAGGCATGGCTGATTATTCACTTGACAGGGCTGTCACAGCCTACTGAACCTGCTTTGCGTTCCTGTAATATTCAACGTACGAGAAAGGAACGGATTTATTTTTCAGAAGTGAGAGAAAGGAGAGGGGGCAGGAGTTTGGTCATTTGGGTGAGAGCGTCCTGTAAGCGATTAGTCTAAATATTGCTTCATTTGGAATACTGTTGACCCTAGAGAAGCAGATAAGAGACGGTGCTCAGCATCTCCTCCCCACCTGCCTTGCTCCTCTCACAGACAAGCACGCAAGAGCCACCTCTCCCAGTCTTCCCTCCAGCGCTCTCCCCCAGCTATCTGTGATTGCTCCAGCAGCACGCACCTCCCTCCCCACCTCGCCCAGCGAGGCTCCCGGGGTCCCTTCCCGATAAACAAACAGGGCTGCAGTTTGGCTTCCAGCGCTTCACCCTCTCTGACGAGGTTGAAGCAGAGAAGCTTTGAGTATCTGAGCTGCGCAGAGAAGGTCTAAACCTGACGGCTCTCACCATGGCTCTGCCACACTAACCCACCGCGTGCTGTTGGACTGGGATGAGCTGTCTCTGCAGCTGAGATCTGCACGGCTTTACTGTCTTCTTCCTCACCATTTCACATGCACAAGATGGATTTTACTCGCACTCTGCAACCATCTTGGCTACGAGACCTAACAAATGAACAACAAGGGCCAGTTGAATGTGAGCAGAGAGACTGGTCTTGCCTGTGCAGTGACATTTCTACAACCCGACAGCATGCGATACCGACTGGCAGCAAACGCAGGCCCAGATTTCGGTGACAGCCATGGTTTTCGCTGCTGGAAAGAGACTGCACCTAAACTTTCCCTGCCACATTCACGCTACAGCGGAAGACAAGGAGCTGGCTTTGCAGAGCAAGCAGAAGTGCCTGCAGACACCACAGAGAAGCTAAACAATATATTAATTTGATTATCAAAGTCTTGCTTCAAGGGCAGAGGTGGCTAATCAGAATCCAGAGCGTTTCAACAGACTAAGGAGTCATCCCGGAGAGACCACAATTAACTCTTCGTTTCTCCTACAGCACGTAGGCCTGCATTTTCCCCCCAGCCTTTGCAAGGCTACTGGTCAGCCCGCTGGAGAGCTGAGCTAGGCATCGCTACAGCTCCTGCTGCCTTTAGAGCGAGCAGCCCCAAACCTCCAGTACCCCAGGGGCAACGCTTGGCTCGGACTGGGGACTTTGGGTCTTGCAACGCAACAAACAGCAGGGGCAAACAGGAGGCTTCTGCGTGTGCACTTTAATTATCTTTCATTAAAAATCAGACTACTGACACACTGTAGATTCAACACAGTCAAGCTCCATTTTAGCAGCGCGTGCAATTACAGGCACATTCTCTGACACCAGATCCTGGCTGCTGGGAGAGCCTCCCATTTTACAAGCCTGAGTTGCGCTCCATCCTTCCATCTGCAGTTTCGCTGCAGCCTCTCACACATGCACACACACACCCCCCCCCCCACCTT